TTGTTAGGCCTAAATGGAATTCTTCTCGCATAAATCCCATGAGAACTTTGATTACCGACACACGAACAAGCGCAGGTTTCTGCAAAAAGACAAACTTGCAAGCGGTATCTTTTTTATGTTGACGCCGATCAATAAAATATCTCGATACAACTTTAGGAAGTCTGTGCCAAGTAATTTGCATTGATTTGTTTATTAGCTTAGGTAGAACCCATAAGTATTTTTTGTCCACGTTGTAAAGGTTTCACGTTTTGTTTTTAGTGACCAATTAACACTTAAAGTGATTTGATTCATTTCTAAAGATATCTTCGTCGGTTGCATAAATAAACTCAAAGGAAACGACTGCGATTTTTTCACACAAGTACGGGCAGAGTTCATTTAGATTAATTTTCATTTATTCACTAGATCATATCTAGCGAACGCTTCGTTTTTTTTTATCAAATCGAGTTGTGATCTCGATAAAAAGATGCATAAAAGTCCGTACTCCAGTGATAAATAATGCAATAAAATTATAAAAATGAAGGTATACGAACCGTACTAAATAGCAGCCTTGAATGAAAAAGGCAAAATATTTTGCATGTGCGCGGGTACCTGTAGTGCGGTATAGCTATGCTAGTGGGCACAGGTGCACACGGCGAGAGCAAGCAGCCTTGTTTGCTAGCGCGCCTCCGCACAGGGCTCACGCTGGGAGCCACGCAGTGCCTTTCCGAGATGAGTGTTTGGAACTAGCTCTCGTTCCTGCCTTTGCTCATCGATGGATATCGATCTTCTGCTGAATAAAGACACATCACGCCTGAAGCTATGCATACGAAGCAAACTCTAGTTTAAAATATTGTTTCTGTTTATTTATTTGAAGTAGATGGAAATACATGATTCATTTCATTTATAATCAAGAGTTATCTCGACGCCAGTTAAGATGCGGCTTGGTTGTGTCATCCAGTCATTTGGCTCGAGTACTACCGCCTAGCTGCGCTTTGTGTATGAGTTATGTTAGATATCAGTCGTGTAAGTTAACAAACACGAGTACGATGGACAGATAGGTGAAAATTAACTGTAAAATGATGAAGATTGAGTATCATTTACACAAACAAGCACTATCTTAGATCATTATCGGATCTGAATACGAGTATTTAACTCGAGATTTTAATAAATTCAAGTTTTACAACGCACGCATAAAGACGTCCTAGAAACTGTTTGTTCGTTGCTTATTTATACCTACTGAAATTATAATTATCGCCGCGTCTTTCCTCTTCCTTGTTGAGTTTCCTCGTGCGGGCAGCAGCCTGCTGGTCGCAACGTCGAGAGAGAGCCGTGCCAGATAGATACCGGGCCCGTATTAGCACTCGGCTTGAAGCGAGGCTTGAGCTGGCTTTATGATCTCATCGTTCATTTATTGATGCAGAGGAAAACATCTTGTAATCCAATAAAAATACTGAACAAGATTTTCGCTTAGAAGGACACGATATACGAATATTATACTTGCAAATTGTGTACGCAGTGACCATTAAGATTTTTACAGGACTGCCTTCGTTATTTTATGACAAAAAACCTACATATTCCACCGTCTCTTGTAGTCCTTATGATTCCCGTTCGTGGCCAATCCCCTGGGGTTTAGATACAGTCCATTTCGCCTCACTCGCCCGCCGCCCCTTGCTGGGTGCGCCGAGCGGTCGTTTCCTGCCATTTGGATTCCAGCTAGATATTGCGGGTAGGGCATGAATATCGGAATCTCGGAATCTCGTAATATCGGAATCTCGGAATCTCGTAATATCGGAATCTCGGACTACGAGAACCGATATTTCAATTCCGATATTGAGGGACCCAATATCGTAATATCGGAATCAGATAAAAGTTTGAATTGATATTTTAAACAAAGCGTTTAAACTCGCCACAACCTGCCACAAAGCCTAAAGTACATGATTGGCAAAGACCAATGATTTTCTCATGTCTCTCACCATCATTTGTTCCACTGCAAATATTTTAATATCTTTAATATTTATGGTTAATTTAACTTGTTCTAAATCAATTTTAGCATTTGCCATAGGTACTTGGTCAACAAAGAACGACATCTCAACTCCCTTTCAAACATTAATTTTACTGGACTATGGACCGTCAGTTCTGCGTACTATGTGCCCTGCCCATTGCCACTTCAGCTTGTTAATCCGTCGGGCTATGTCAGTGACCTTAGTTAGTTTACGGAGCTCCTCATTTCTGATTAGATCTCGTAAAGAAACACCAAGCTTATCCCTCTCCAAAGCACGTTGTGCCTTATATTCAAAGGCCACGTTTTCGAGCCGTATATCATCACTGGTAACACACACTAATTGAAGACTTTCGTCTTCGTATTCGACGATTTACCTCTTTCTCGAAATTGCATCTAACTACCTAGCTGATCGTTTGTTCGAGATAGACATACTTACTTGTCAACAATCTCGAGAATCGAGCTCCTAACCGAAACTGGGTAAGGAGCAACATGGTCATTCGACATAAGCTTCGTTTTTTCCATATCCATCCGAAAGCCTACCTGTTGGGAAACTCGATTAAGTTCTTCGAGCATTGTGATCAGGTCTTCCAACGGTTCTGCCTTAGTACGCAAAACAGACGGACGATGAGGCAGCAAGGTTCTGAAATGGAGGCCACGTACCTACCGGAAAGCGCAGCGTAGGACTCATAACCAATAGGGTGATATAATGAAGGAGTAAAAGTTTGTTTGATACCTGTGATTTTACAAAAACACTAATTATTTGCTAGTCCATATAGGCTCATTATCAGTAACCATTCATTATCAGGTGATCCGTCTGCTCGTTTGCCTCTTATCACATAAAAACCAAATGCAATGGATACCCATAACGTAAAAATGGTTTTAAAATACTTCAATTTTATGAAGTGCTGTTTTGTACCAAATTAAAGATTTTGATTAAAATAATTATTTTGTTGTAAACAATCCAGAATTCTTACGAATATAACCAAATATTAATTTTATAGCACATGAACTCAATTCCGATATTAATATCGGAATTCCGATATTGAGATCTAATATCGGAATCCAATATCGGAATTGAAAACCTTCCGATATTACATGCCCTAATTGCGGGTATAAAGGCCTGAAGCGCTCCTCGAAAGTAAAGGCTACATTTTTATATCTCAGATCTTTGTCATACCAAATTCAAAATTACGTATTAACGTGCGGTAATTAATGGCAGACGATCTTATATGGTCACAGTGTCGAATGGTATTCAGGCATAATTATAATTATTATTTTCACCCAAACCGTGAAGATGAATAGGAAATTCTTTTCACCTTTAGTCTTATACTTTTTATTTTTGTTGTTTTAAAAACAAACTGTTGTCATCTATATTAAGACGTGTACGTTATTTATAATTATTGAGTAGTGAAATTTTCATGAAATAATAAATAAATCCGCATTGATAATGTCTTGATTGAGTAACGCTCAGCGATACGGGCCCGTGTAGCGCCGCCCACGTGAGGCGATTTAGACAGTCCCAGATACAAAAAATCGGCCAAACTCTACATTCATCCAGCTAGTGATGAAATCTGCAATGTTTGATTTCGGTTTTTTCATCTGCCATTAGTGTACGGGGTGACGCATTAGTTTACAGATCGTTTAGTAAATTACCAGAATTCTGTTATTATAAGATGATATGGTCACCCGCTGGTAAGTAATGAGACTTAAGAGAGAGCACTCTTCCTACGAAAGGTTTCACTGAGTCACATAGGCACCCAGGTTATGGAAAAGCGATAAGACAGACTGGAAATTTTATAGAAGACAAATTATAGCATCTAAACTATTAAGCCATTAATTCAAAGAATCAGTAACGTGTTAGTTTATTAGGCAGTTTGAATATTGCGAAAGAATAAATAAGGTAGGTAGTTTTAATTTTTGCTAAACACGGGACACTGGTAGATTCGAATTTCACAAAGAATTTTCGCAACCCAAACTTTTCCCAAGAAGTTTTACAGGAATTAAAAACGTGACTGCAAAATGATTTCACACATTTTTAGACGAATAACGTCGTTCACGTGTTAAACTTTTACTTAAAGTTGGAATTCAATTTATTTATTTCATATGATACGTGTTCACAAGAGTGTGCTAAAGTTCGGATTATGATGGTCCTAATGTTCTAAAGTGCTGAGTCAGAAAAGATATCGCGGGGATGGCTAGACAGGCACTCGCCGACACATAGACTATGTAATATTACTAATATAACTATTTAATAAATAATACCTACATAGTATGTAAACATAATAGTATATCATGTATTATTTGGTTGCATACAACATACACCCCGTATTCCGTTGTGGCCGCGTCATATTCAACACAGACATAGTATAACAGTTACGTGTCTTGTGGCTTAGTTGCAAAAACATTGATCGACCAGCTCTCCCCTAAACGGGATGATGCCCTTCACTACAATTTGTGTTTGGCCAACATCTACTACTAGACTACCAAGAAAACCATTTAAGGGTTAGGCAGTTTTAGGAGATAAGGACTATTCCCACCTCTCGTTCCCACCACTGCAACTCCTGTGTAGCCAGGATCTACAGCTTGATAAAAGCCGCCATAAAAACCCAACCAATGAAGGTCGAGTTTGTCCCGGGGGAAAGTTAAACTGTCATTGGACCCGCAACGAAATTAATCAGAAGAACATAGGAGGACTTCGAAATTAAGGTTCGACTTCCCTCCATTGCAAAGCGGATGACAGGTGACAAACAATAAAACCTTTAATAAAAGATTATGCACCACGGACAATAAATATCAATTAAGGGGGCCTATCTTATGAGCAATTAGCAACTACCTGCCAATAATATTTTTCACAAAATCGCTTAAAAGCACACAGTTTTGGGAGATAGCTATTTGTGTAATGTACTCTATAAAAAGGCCATATACATTTTTAAAGCAGTCATTCTGGTGATGCAGATCTAGGTATCGTTATCTATCCTATGTTTTAAAATGACCTGACAAATGACCGCGCTTGTTCCAGCATGGAGATCAAAGCCGACGGCGTGCTGGACGGCATGGTGCGGCCGGTGAAGGAGCGCAAGAAGCACGACCGCTTCAACGGCATGAGCGAGGAGGAGGTGGCGCGCCGCACGCTGCCCGACCACCTGGCCGAGAACCTCGACATCATCATTGTGAGTATGATCGCACCCCAAGCTACTCTCTTGTGTTCCAGCTTCAAACTAAAGTCTGGTCCGTGAGCACGTAGAATTTTGTCCAATGACCCCAAGCTCGCACACTTACTGCGGGCGCCGTCGCACAGTCGTGACAGCAATATAATTACGTGCGAGCGATAAGGATGGGTAGCTTGGGGTCATTGGACGAAATTCTACGTGCTCATAGACCGGGCTTTACCAACGCATATTCCTCTGGCGGCATTAGCGAGAGAAGCCGCCACTGAAACTATCCTCTGACGTCTAGTGGAATGTTGACACTATTATTGTGTTGTGAGTATTTACATTCTTCAGCAACAGAGCCTTGAGAATGTAGTCCACCGGACGCTGACCCTCAAAGTGCGAGCACGATTGCACCACAAGCTATTCTCGTTTTCCAAGCGCATTGCTCTCGCGACATGAGCGAGGAAGAAGTCGCCCACCGAATCCATCCTCCGACATCTGGTGGACCGTTGGCACCATTATCGTGAGTATGTCTCCGTTAGTGACAGAGCGAGAAGGATATCGTCCACTGGACTCTAAAGCCTGGTCCGTGAGCACGTAGAATTTTGTCCAATAACCCCAAGCTACCCATCCTTATCGCTCGCGCGTAATTATATTGCTGTCGCGACTGTGCGACGGGCGCCTGCAGTGAGTGTGCGAGCGCGACAGCAACATAATTACGTGCTCACGGACCAGGCTTTATCTGGCGGCATTAGCGAGAGAAGCCGCCACTGAAAGTATCCTCTGACGTCTAGTGGAATGTTGACACTATTATTGTGTTGTGAGTATTCACATTCTTCAAGCGCGAAGCTTCAGCAACAGAGCCTTAAGAATATCGTCCACCGGACGTTGACCCTCAAAGCGCGAGCACGATTGCACCACAAGCTATTCTCATTTCCCAAGCGCATTGCTCTCGCGACATGAGCGAGGAAGAAGTCGCCCACCGAATCCATCCTCCGAAATATGGTGGACTGTTGGCACCATTATCGTGAGTATGTCTCCGTTAGTGACAGAGCGAGAAGGATATCGTCCACTGGACTCTACCACCATTGTGAGCATGATAGCAGCCGACGCTGTTATCTTTCTGATTCAAGCGCGACGCTTCAGCAGTATGAGTCAGTATTTTTGTAAGCCTAATCGCACACAGTTTCATAAAAGTGTAATATGGCCACAGCAAGCACGATTACAATCACCAAAGCGTAAGTTATAGTAGATGTTTTGTTTTCCAAAACGCAATAACCGCGAGCCATTTATCTAAAACCCCACTAAAGAAATTACTGCAAGTTGCAACCCGCTGACCCATATTTAAAAACATGAAAAACTTAAATACCTACTAAATGATTGCTATAAAATAATTAATATTGAACATAATAATTTAGTTTATTAAAAACGATAATAGTTTTAAAAGGAAAATTAATCTGCCTTTTCCTCAATAATTCTATCGGTTCAGTTTCGTGACGTTTGCAGTATTGTTTTAATTATTTATTTATTTATTTTTTATTTTATTAATTATTAATTATTGAGCAATTACATATTTGATCCAAATAGCGTCCTAAATCCTCTTTAAATTTAATTTAATTGCACTTGTACCTACCTTGGAATCTGCCTACCTACTTTATTCGTAATAACGTTTTTAACAAATTAATGGGTAATTTGAATTATAAAGGATGAATATGAAATGATTTAAATTATACATTCACTTTTATTATAAAAATACTATGAGACCAAAACCAGTGTATTAATTTTGGATATTTTTTTCATGATTTCGAATTCACAAAAGGACTATCCGTACATGCTCGACCATGTAAATTAGTAACTTGTATAAAACAACGATTTAAACCTTATTTTAATTCTGATCGCTTACATAGCAAATGATTTATGTTATTTATTATGGAGCATTGTTAAACTTTTGTATTTTCTGTCTTTTAATAATTATCTCACTCTCAGTTCATTGGGAGTTGATGATTAATGCCGGTGTATCGTTATCATTTCGGTTCCTGATTTATATCAATATAATTAATAATTATATTCTAATAAAAACGAATAATGTTATGAATCACTGTTGAGAGGTGGACAATGCGAAGATGTGGACTTATATGAGTATGAATTAATATTATCCCGAGATTGCCATGCCTGTTTAATTCTATAGTAACTGTATACGGTATTTATGTATATTTAATGTAATTTAAAATTATAATCGCGTATTAAAATGCAATATTATTCATGAAAATCCAAATGATAGTAATTCATAGCAATTAAGTAATTTGAAGTAAATAAATTATAATAATATGAACTACATCACATTAACATGATTTTATTGTCTTGATAAATGTCACGCGTGAGCTATGGCGGTCACCGGCGACGTCGGGTCGCACAAATCACTGCACGAGCTCTCGTCCGATGTGTAATTATCTTAGGTTTTCTTTCGAGATTTCATTCACCCGTATAAGGCTCCAAGGCAACAGCTGCGAATGTGCAGAAATGTTCCCACGAATTTGGCGCCTGTTCGTTACACTCATTGTTCATCATTACTGTCTATCCGATATAGGTTATCTCTAGCACAAGGATTAACTGTAGTTTTACGTTGTGTGTTGTAACACACCGGCTGATCATGTGTTGCGTTGCAGATCGGCATCAACCCGGGGCTGTTCGCGGCGTACAAGGGACACCACTACGCCGGGCCCGGGAACCACTTCTGGAAGTGCCTGTACCTCTCCGGCCTCACGCGCGAGCAGATGAGCGCCGACGAGGACTACAAGGTAAGGACGAGACGAGTGTGTTAAAGCTTTCGCACTATATCCGATGCAAATCCAGAAAAACTTACGTATCTAGAGGAATTGGATGACGGAAATCGAATCTACTGTAAGCTACCATACAAATAGTTCTTCTGTACTGTCACGGATTCGGATCGGTCGTAGTGTAAGAGCGGTTTCTTACAATGTTCACGAAACACTCTGGTGTTCTTGGACGTCTGTAACAGCTAGAGTTGAATAGCTTACAAAAAAATTATAACACTCAACTGTATTTTCAGTTCTATGTAAAAGCTAGGATGTAGATGTTTGAAATGACAATGTCAAGCATGTATTATAAAAATATCAACATGCATATTAAGTAACCGATTTCAGTGGTGTGACAGCGCAACAAAGCTCCATTACTTTCCAAAACACAATGATTGAGACACCGGGAATATGGGGCATGGGAACGACTCATGCTTCTTGTCCCTGCAATCGACGCGGCTGCGATATTGCCATTAGACTCTATAAAAAACGTGTTAAATGGAAACCCATTACAGCGCAATTAAGTGACGCGCCGCTAATTAATTGTCTTGAATCAGATTTTTGCTTAATTAAAATAATTGTTTAATTGTAGGGAGATAATGATCTCTAGATTATGTCAGACAAATGGCAGGCGTTCTGCGCAGACGTTCTCGGTTACAACTGAATTGAGAGTTTGTGTTTATTATTAAAGTGTTTAATGTTGGGGTGGAGACTCCCAGACGCGGTAATGCCGAGTGTCGATAGCGATCTGACCTCGTTGTGTGCGAGTACCTCTCTCTGTAACGTAAACGAACACTTAGCACCTGCTTACATGAAGTATTAACAAGAAATTTTGCTAACAATGTTACTTTTACTCCATTGATATTTAAACCTGCATGCAGTTATGCATGTTTGGAGAATATTACAGCTATACAAAAATGTATCATGAGATCTTTAAGAGATATAACATATTATTCAAATCATTACCTGTTTTGTCACCGTATTCGTATTGCTTTCGATTGATTCATCGCTCGGGGCTCTGCGTCGCAGCTGCATGTGAAGTTACGCCTATCGGACGCATCTATTCCCAACGAAAAGGACGCGGGAAAATATTGAATAATCGCACACACATGGGGTATGGAAATGACGCGCTGCGTGGGAGTCTCTTGACGCGACCCGTGGGCGTCGGTGGGCGTCTGTCCATGTAAACTGGCAACACTGCGGCGGGCGGTAGACTGAGGATAGGTGTTGATGACATGCTCTAATTTTATTAACTGCTATTTCAGAAATTTTAATAATCATTCGTAATCATAGTCGTATTCATTCGTATCTGAGAAAAGTCAGCCCAAAAAAAGATAAAAAATATCTCCTAAACTAAGCAAAATCGTATAACATACATGGGGGTGATTTAGATACACCTTGATGTAAGGAATCTAAATTTTTCTTTTAGACCTCACTGTTTTGGCCACCCTGTATATTGTTTTAAACTTTCATGATCACTAACATAATAATAATAATTATTATGCATGATGAAAATCGAATCTAGTGCGTTACCTGCCACACAAATAGTTCTACGTGAACTCCGGATTGTATTTTCACGATACGAACATAGCTCGAAACTGCTCTAACAGTCCAATTCCCAAGCTCTTACGTTGTTTGTCAAATATCCTATTGCTATGTACAATACTACCAATATTAGTTTTAATTCAACGGACGTGCATTTATATCCTGTAATTTTGACTGTTTTCCAGCTGTTAAACTTCGGCATCGGGTTCACGAACATGGTGCCGCGCGCGACGAAGGGCTCGGCGGACCTGACGCGGCGCGAGATCAAGGAGGGCTCGGCCGTGCTGCTGGAGAAGCTGCAGACCTTCCGGCCCAAGGTGGCCGTGTTCAACGGCAAGCTCATCTACGAGGTCTTCTCGGGCAAGAAGGACTTCTGCTTCGGCAAGCAGCCCGACACCATAGCTGGGACTAACACGGTGGGTCTCTCGCGTTGACGTGTTATGATAGCTCGCACCTCTCGGCCCGAGGTGGCCGTGTTCAACGGCAAGCTCATCTACGAGGTGTTCTCGGGCAAGAAGGACTTCTGCTTCGGCAAGCAGCCCGACACCATAGCTGGGACCAACACGGTGGGTCTCTCGCGTTGACGTGTTATGATAGCTCGCACCTCTCGGCCCGAGGTGGCCGTGTTCAACGGCAAGCTCATCTACGAGGTCTTCTCGGGCAAGAAGGACTTCTGCTTCGGCAAGCAGCCCGACACCATAGCTGGGACCAACACGGTGGGTCTCTCGCGTGGACGTGTTATGATAGCTCGCACCTCTCGGCCCGAGGTGGCCGTGTTCAACGGCAAGCTCATCTACGAGGTCTTCTCGGGCAAGAAGGACTTCTGCTTCGGCAAGCAGCCCGACACCATAGCTGGGACCAACACGGTGGGTCTCTCGCGTGGACGTGTTATGATAGCTCGCACCTCTCGGCCCGAGGTGGCCGTGTTCAACGGCAAGCTCATTGCTGTTTGCTTACGCTGTTTTGCGTGCTGCATGCGGTTTTGTGATAGTATTTTGAATCCTGAAAACTACCCAAAAATAATAATAATAAATAACGTGAGAGCTAAAGCTAAAGCAAACGACGGAGTGGTGTCGTTGCATAGTCTTACATACAGTGTGAGTCACGTTAAAGTGTACATGTGAAAATAGATGAAACTAGACCTATTTTTATCGACAAAAAAGAGGTCAAAAATTTTTTGAGATTTTTTTATATTTTTTTATAGATTTTTTTTTCTTCCAATTACTTATTGTAAAGAAAACGTAATAACTTTTAAACTAAGCGGTATATCCTGATAAAATAAAAACAGTAATAATGCTAAATAACAGGCGATACTAAAAAAATACATAAAATATACAAAAAAGGCCAACTAATAATAAAAAAAGATACTTTTTGAAAAAAATCTGCTTTTAAATTCGTGTTTTTTTGGTTATTTGATAAATTTCTCCAAAAAGTGCCCCTATAACCGGTGTTTTTTATCACTTTGTATTATTCTCTATCGTATTACCTTCGTAAAACCAAAAATCGCATGTCTCTATCCCTATCACAACGTTTGCAATGATCGTTTGAACTAAGCCTCTCCGGGCGCGCCATTCAACGCTTCGTTAACAACGAAACTGAAAATGGCTCTAGATTTGTAATTTTGATAAAGACAAGTTAGATTTCAAATAAAAACAAAAGATTTCGAAGTAAAATAAGCATTTAAGTTAAAATTAAAATTGTCTCTACCTGTAGCGGAGAATAATGTTGTGGCAGGCCTTTGTTCAAACGATTGGCAAATGTTGTGATAGGGATAGAGACATGCGATTTTTGGTTTTACAAAGATAATACGATAGAGAATAATACAAAGTAATAAAAACCACCTGTTATAGGGGCATTTTTTGGAGAAATTTATCAAATAACCAAAAAAACACGAATTTAAAAGCAGATTTTTTTCAAAAAGTATCATGTTTTGTTATTTGTTGGCATTTTTTGTGTATTTTATGTATTTTTTTAGTATCGCCTGTTATTTAGCATTATAACTGTTTTTATTTTATCAGGATATACCGCTTAGTTTAAAAGTTATTACGTTTTTTTTACAATAAGTAATTTGAAGAAAAAAAAATCTATAAAAAATTAAAAAAAAATCTCAAAAAAAATTTGACCTCTTTTTTGTCGATAAAAATAGGTCTAGTTTCATCTATTTTCATATGTACACTTTAACGTGACTCACACTGTATAAATATCTGTCGCATCAGTCTTTGCAATCACCGAGAGGAGGTGGGGAGGAGCGAATGCGTTGCAACGTCGAAGCAGCGGCGCTGCACCACTTATGTGCCCGTCGATACGGCGAAATGAGGGCTATCGTTTTAGCGCTTACCAGTTAGCGCCATTTTAGAGTAAGGCCCTGTCACTTGCTAGTAGCGAAGACAGTGGCATCAATTGGTGAGCGCTAAGGTGGTAGGAGGACTATTGCGTTTGCACTCATCAAGATGGCGCCACTGTAGAGTAAGGTCCTGTCAATCGTCAGGGGTGCCAACTGTTAAGTATAAAAACGATAGCCCTCATTATGGCGGTGTGGCGCCGCAACGCATCACGTTTTGAGTTTTGACTGACTGTGACGTGTGTCCTGTGTTGCAGTACATGTGGGTGATGCCATCCTCATCGGCGCGCTGCGCGCAGCTGCCGCGCGCGGCGGACAAGGTGCCGTTCTACGCGGCGCTGAAGAAGTTCCGCGACTTCCTCAACGGGCTCGTGCCGCACGTGGACGAGGCCGAGCTCGTGTTCCCCGACACCACCTCGCGCCGGCCGCAGGAGGAGATGGAGATTCGCAGGTACAGCGGCCGCAGGTACTACGCGACGGGCCCGCGGGCGGCGGGGGCGCCCTCCCTCCCCTCTCCCCTCCCCCCTCCTCCGACGAGAAGATATCCGCTGGAAATACTCGAATTCAAAGTCAGCCGATAACTGAGAATCCGAATAAATATCACGACGTAGGGTAAACTGCCAGTCATTGGACACTTAAAAGAGTTATTGGACAGTTATTTATTGAATTAAAAATAGGATTTATATTTCAACAACTAAGAGATTCCGATTGATGGAGTTGAAAGGGCGTTAAATAAGGAATAATTATTCATTCATTTTATGGACATTAAAAGGGCGTTTTGTCCAATGATTGGCAGCGCCCAATAACTGTCGGTTTACCCTATTATGAAAAATATCCAAATCTCAAATACTACTCTAATGCCCGTTTTCGCCATCAATCCCTATTTTTTAAGTGACTCCTATAATAACTAAATTCCTGTTATGTGTCACTGATAGGGGTCACTTAAAAAATAGGGATTGATGGTGAAACGGTCATAAGACAATATTTTTTGCGTTAAAGCACAAACAAAACTACACTCAACATCAAATAAACCGCACCTTCCGTGACGTGAACTTTAAAGATTTTTTTCTGACGCAATCATGGTACCCCAACAATATTGGTGTTATCTGAAAACCCAATAAATATCCTTAAAGAAAAACACATTTCATTTCTAAATAAATTATTAACATATACCATAAATGTGACTTGAAAAAAGACCTCACTTTGGGCTCACCTCTGGGATCAATTAGACTAATTTTTATGGTAAATAAACCAAATAATGATCTCACGTGCCCTCTTTAACAGATGGATAGTGATTAATCCCAACTTAACAGTTTTATAGCCATAAAAATTGGCTCAAGCGTAACTAGTACCTATTTTTTGAAGAAGTGACTGCGGATCCTTCTAAAGAGACATCTTTGGGGTAAAAACCTTTCCTTTCATGACATGAAGTTTAGAACTAGGCTTTTAAATGGTGTCAATATTAGTGGGAAGTGGGGATGCATACGTTTGAAAGTGCTTGTCGCGGGAGGTGCGATTTATTTGATGTCGAGTGTATATAAGAACAGTCATTATAACATTTTTAACTTCATACTTGATACATTTGAATTACAGAACCGATATAAAGTTGTACTAGACAAATTCCCTTCCTTTATTGATGAACGAAGAATTTTAATCGTGATTCACTCTACGAAGCCCATTTTCCAAGCAGCATGAAAGCAAACGCCGGCCGCTCCTGCCGTCCCGAGCGGGCAAAATCGGCGCCCGCCAGCCCACGCGCACTTGCCACCGTCAAAACATTATGAACTTTATTTAAACTGATGTAGGGTGGAATGTCTCGTGACACGTTGGAAGTATGTAAGCTGATGTTGGATGACAACTTTAAACAGCAAACATCTTTGATTTATATCACTACTAATTTTCCGCCCGCGGCTTCGCTCGCGTGAAAAAGGGCTGTTTTTAGGGTTTTCCCGGAAATTATTCGAATTTTTCTCGCCGTAAAAACCATCCTTGGACTTCAACGAACATTAAAAAAAAACTATTGGTAAAATTGGTCCAGACGTTGTTGAGCGCTTACCAACACATTTTGCGATTCATTTTTATATTATAGATGGATATTGGTATCTATATCTGATATCATTTGTTTGATATTTCCATAGTAAGATGTCTTTTATCAGCGGCAAATGTACTTTCAAGAAATATTCCGGACTACACCCTGTATATCAGAACAAAAGTCAATCATAAGTATGAAATCGATTTGTATTATTTACGAAGGCAAGATGCGCGTGCGGCCCGGGCCCGCTCCGTGTGTAGGCACGTAGACGGGCACTCGATTCTGAGATGATCACTGTGCCCAACTAAAAGTTATTCGATCACTTTTCTTTCTAATGGAATGGGTTTACATTTTCAATTTTACAAATTTAATTTCAACCCTTTCCACTTATTTTTGGCGATAATTATTTTAACGGAGACGGATGTGATAGTTATACTGATTGATCATCTATGAGTCGAGCCCATTACAGGTGACCCGCGCACATAACTAACAGAATTTCGCGACAGCTATGAGCTTTAAAATCTGGGGTAAGTCAAACTTGATATAATATGCCGTCCTGCCGAAGACGATGACACTTCCCCATTTTCGTGGAAGGTTCAGGGCTAGTGATCACAAGGTGCCGTTAGACGTCGCAATTTTCTATTAATTTATTTATCTGCGTGAGTTGTAGACACAGTAAGCATGCTCTCCTCCGCCGACACCTCTACATTTTATTTAACACTTTGTTTTTTTTTTTTGTCACAATTTTTAAAGCAGTATATTTACGGGCTTCTACAGAAGATAATGATTAGCTGTCGACTAAAATAAATAAAATACAAACTTTCTAATATATGAGCATGCCTACTACGTCTACACATCTATGTTGTGGTAGAAGTGTTCGTGAATAAAAGTTACGTCCATACACACCTGCCAACAAACAGGTGCAACACGAGGCTTTCGAGAATATTCCACAAAGAAAACAGACGCGTGATAGTAATCAAGAAGTACGTCAAGTATGCGCCTGTTCGATGGCAAGTGAATACGTTTTTAAGATACGGAATTGTTATCAATGTTACATTACTTCGGTTTCCAATAGTAACTTCTCTCTGAATGTATTCTTTAGTAACGAGCATTCGAGAGGTGTCTATTACATTTTTATTGTTTAGTAAAAAAACAAATGGACCTTTCTAACCATTTCTGTATATGCGGTCATAGACACTATGATTGGCAGAGACCATAATGCTACTCACGAATGTAGAAAATACTTTTTGAGAATTTGATAATTAAAAAAGTTTCAAACAAGTATCTAAAACTTTTTGCTGATAAAACTATAGAGAAATGTAAAAAGAAAATATAAGTCAATGTAACATTGACATTACAAATTTCACATTATTTGTTTGTAAACATGTACAGAAAAATTCTATAAACATTTCTTTTATTAAATTTGTACAATGAATTTCTTAGATCTACCGATTGAAGTAGGGATATTAATTTTGAATTATTTAGATACAAAGTCAAAAATCAACGCCTACAACAGTTGTAGTGGGATCCGGGAGTTCTTTGCGCCGTGCCATGTGAAGAGGCTCGCGCTGTCCCGCAGCGTGATCGCCACGGCGCGGACCTTCTGCCACGCGCTGTTCGTAGATATGGGACATCATATCAGGGAGCTAAACCTGAGCGGAGTGCCGGACCTTACGGCGAGAACGCTAAAACCACACATCAGTAACTTCATACATTTGAGAACTTTGGACATCACCTTCACCGACATCTACTTGCCCGATCTTATAGAAATTTGCCCCCGATACTTGAAGAATCTCGCCGTGAACTTCTTCAAATGCCCGCGGCGAAGCAGGCGAGACATGGTGTGGGACAAGTGCAAAGAGTTATTCAAAACGAAAGAGTTCACCAGTATTCACTTCGTAGTGTTCGAATTCCTCGACTCTGACACCCCGCTGATGTTCCTGGACGGAATCTCGCTTATCCAGGATCTGCTGGTGACGGTTGCCGATAATTTCAGGGACTTCTGGGATATCGAAGAGGTTGACGTGCCGTTCAATCACATCGATCACTACACCATAAACTTCTCGAAGCTCTCCTACGTGTTCCGCGACTGCCGAGTCACGCACAAAACTGCTAAATGTCTCAGAGGCGTCGCCAACCTAAACTTTGAACAGATAGAATACATCTACATTATGTATTTGGAAAAGATCGTTGTGTACGTCTCTCCTGTCTTCAAATCAATATTTCTGGTTAATTGCAGCGATTTACGGGTAGAGACTAGCTCATTTCTGCCTTTGGATTTCATGTTGGATGGCAACATTATATTCAAAGCGTGGAACAAGCGGACGACAAAGTTTGATGAACAATTCATGAAGAATGTTATTTTAGAATTGCAAGATTACTTTCCGTCGTACATCTGCATGCACGGCAGGATCAAAATGAAAATAACGAACGCTCCGAGCGACTGGTACTGCATCGACGCGTGCGAGGGCTTCGAAAAGCTCATAGACGATCTGCCCGAAAAAGTCACACTGACGGATTTCTGCAGGAAAGACGGCGCCGTCATCAGGTGCAACCGGCCCATACGACTGACGTCCAATTCGAAAACTTTGAACAATTTGACTTTTCTGCGGCTGAGCAACATTTGCATCAGGGAGGACTTCTTCCAAATTCTATTTTCGCAATGCTCCAAACTGGAGACCCTAGACATCTACGCGGAGAAGCGCGGCCGACTGGGCGTGTTCCGCGGCTACACCGCGTCGCTGTCCAAATCCATAGATCTGGCCGAGCGCTTGAAAAACGTCAAGATGACTTCCGAGGACATCGAGTACGAAACGCTCTTCGGCACTCTGAGCAGATGCTCCACTTTGGAGAACGTGCACATTTGCGAGTACGAACGCGCGCTGGGGGACCACGAGATCGACGTGACGAGCATGTTGTCTATGATAGAGCGGTGCGGCGGGCTTTATAGCCTGTTCATCGAGGCGGACATGTCTCCGGAGCAGCTGACGTTGCTGATGAGTCCGCTGCGGCAGGCGGCGCAGGCGCGCGCGCGCGACCACCTGCGAATCGAAGTATGCGACTGCTACCGCGGCTGGAACCCGTTCGTCGACGTCTTCAATCCTAGCCCTTTGCACATATTAGATTGATCGAATATAAGTTTTTGTTGACCTTTATAATTTATTTTTATTTTGTTCTTTAATTTAATTTTTTAACCAAATCTGGTTAAAAAATTGAATTAAAACTTTAAAATCGGCAATCGCCGATTTTAAAGGTAACTTGACTATTAATTGTACATTTTCAATTTAATGAATGTTTATACTCTTTAAACAACAATGATACGATTTGTCTTTCAGACCAAGTAGGTATAACTCAGATATAGAGTAATCCATACCCAGTCTGTTCTTTCAAATAACGAGCTCATTCCTAAATAAAATTAAGACAAATAGACGCCAAATGGTGACGTGGCTTAAAACTGGGAATATACGCTCGAAATTGAAAGTTCAATTCAGTACAGAGTAATTTTAATGGCATTTCACAAAGGACAAAATCACAAAAAATTTCGCTTGAAGACACAAAAAACTAATGCACTAGCTGTAATTTCGATGTTTATGCCATTGAACCTACTCAGTGCTGTTCTGAGCCCGAAACCGAGCCGTAATCGCCGGATCATCGACAGACTGACGATGGAGCCGGAACCCGGGGACACGATAATCCTCGAGGACGGCACCGAGGTCCCGCTGAAGAAGAAGCGCGGCCGCCCCAAGAAGGTCAAGCTGGAGAACGGCGAGACCGCGCCGCCCACGCCCCGCGCGCCTCGGGCCCCGCGGCCGCCGCCCACGCAGGACCCCAACGGCGAGCAGCCGCCCAAGAAGAAGCGCGGCCGGCCCAAGAAGATCAGGCCCGAGGAGCAGCAGTTCCTCATGCAGCAGCAGCAGCAGCAACAGCAACAACAGCAGCAGCAGCAACAACAACAGCAGCAGCAGCAGCAACAACAGGTCAGTGGATTTTGATGGAACATAATATGTAGTCTCTTTGATTGAAGCCCAATTTTTTATTTATGCAGTGATAACCCAATTTTTTAGCAACTGCAAACCATTTTACTGACCAGCATTGTGATAGACCGATATAGCTCTATTGTACCTCATCGCGCACAGAGTAAACTGTACACCGAAAATAATAAAATAACGGTTGATCAATCATAGTAACAAACGATACATATGTCGACGTGATATCTCGCACACGCTCTTCGCAGCTTCGACCAAACCAATGCGTTCTGCCCGCGTGCGCGCGACGAATCTATCGTTTTGTAGCCTAACCATTGACGTCACTCCCAGCAGGCGAACGCGATGATGCAGCCGCAAATGTCTGGGCTACAGGGGCTGGGCCACGAGCAGTACCTGCACGGCGAGTTCCAGCAGGGCATGCTGTACCCGCACCTGCAGGAGCCGCCCTACTTCCAGCCGCCCGCGCCCGCGCCCGCCGCGCCCGCGCCAGGTGAGCACAGCGGTAAACACACCTTCTCACTTCACGATAGAGCTTAGTTTAGTCCAGCAGGCATGCTGTACCCGCACCTGCAGGAGCCGCCCTACTTCCAGCCGCCCGCGCCCGCGCCCGCCGCGCCCGCGCCAGGTGAGCACAGCGGTAAACACACCTTCTCACTTCACAATAGAGCTCAGTTTAGTCCAGCAGGCATGCTGTACCCGCACCTGCAGGAGCCGCCCTACTTCCAGCCTCCCGCGCCAGGTGAGCACAGCGGTAAACACACCTTCTCACTTCACATTAGAGTTTAGTTTCGCATTTCACAGGCAGTTCACGATCCCGACCCTCAAATTGAGATTTATCGTCAGAGGTAGGTATGTACTGTTCTCATTACTTTTTTACTTAGCACATAATGTTTTCGCTAATCATCTCTATTGTACTGTCTGACCTATATGGAACTTGTGACCTTTCAATCTTGGATAGGAATCTTTCCTGCTCCTCCATCGCGGGAGATGTTTGACCTCAAGATAATATTCATTCCGTCGACAGTCTTGGAATCGCCTAAGGATACGTCACAAACTGTTTAGTGACTGCCAATCTGTGTAAACCTGGGAGCCATATCAGAAGGAGGTTCAAAGCACGGTCCTGGTTACCAGAAGCATGTCTTATTAGTAAAGCACGATTGGAATTTTCCTGGCCCAACTTCTATTATTGGATGAAATCCTCACTTGATCAGGATAACATTCTACGACTCGCAACTTGATTTACATAGCCTTAAATTAAAAGGTAAACTGGTCGAGAATGCTTTAGTGCATTAAGTTCGCCTTATGTACAAATTTATTTTGGCATAAAAGTTTAAATAAATAAATAAATAAATCATCACATAGCAGGAAGGCGCTGAGTGCAGGCCGCTACCAACCGGTCATTGGGGGAGGCCTATGTTCAGCAGTGGACGTTCTGTGGCTGAAATGATGTTGATGATGACGTCATCACAAAGGAAATAACTGACAATGAAAAAACTGTGATTTTAGCTTACTTAGACTGTCGTCTGCGGTGTTTTCGGACGGATACGACCTGCAAGCTGTCAAGAGGAGAGCGTATCTTCACCTTAAAGGCCGGCAACGCACCTGTAACGCCCCTGGGTCTGCGGGTGTCTATGGGCGACGGTAATCACTTAGGCGGTTATCACACTGCACCTGGTTTTCATATAAAAAACACGCGCGCGGACGCGTTGTCAGTGTGAAGTGCCGCGCGTGTTTTCTATACAAAGTGAGGTACTTACATACAATGATTAAGTCTGTCGCCCCGCGGCCGCGGAGCGCGGCGCAGTGTGATAACCGCCTTACCATCAGGTGTTCCGTCTGCTCGTTTGCCTCTTGTCACATAAAAAAAACTTTCAACAGTGACTGACATGACCGAAATGTTGACCGTGATGTATTGAAAGAAAAGAAAGAAAGAAACATTTATTGCCATGGACATTGGACATCACAAAAGACAAAAGAGGTAAAATGAAAAAAAAAAAGCAAATAAGACAGAGGTGACATATAGTTCCAAAATACTGGACTGTCCTGTCGATGACATTGACAGTGGGGCGCCACCGTCAATACCGGATCGCTGGTTCAGATTTTTGCCATGTTGGAAACCATATAGTTGAGCGATGGTAGCGCCCCCCTGTCATTGAGTTTGGTGGGACAGTTCAGCGTGGGTCAGCTATAAAACATACAATAAATGAGCAAGTAAACTAAGCAGTGCCACCCTGTCGCACAGCGATGCCCATCGCAATGGGACCCCACTCAGCATATGCCGTGGCCCCCGGTGAGGGAAGCCACGACGCTGGTTTTCAGTGTGCCCCATGCCGAGTGAGAGTCACGGACACTAACCTATACATCATTATTGAAACATGCGTGTTGTTTGTGTGCAGGCGGCGGCATGGACGGCGGCATGGACGTGGGCGGCGGGCTGCTGCGCTACGGCTCGCCGGGCGCGGGCGCGGGCTACGCGTCGCCGCGCGTGTACGCCTCGCCGCGCTCGCAGGGCTACTCGCCCGGGCCCGCGCGCCCGCCCGGCACGCCGCAGCCGCAGGTCAGTCTACCGATACTTACTAGTTATAACCTAATAAATAACAAACATTGACATTTCCACCAAACTCAACCGGTAAAATTCAATCTATACAGGTTGGAAACGTTAAGTGATCTCAGTCGATTATTTTTAAACTATACAACATATTGAAAAACTGGTTACTGATCCTGAAAGTGATTCATGACCTCTTACAAACAGTACCAAACAATTTAATTTTTGATAGATTCAGTTTATTCTGTAACCTATTATTATTGATACCATTATGATAGAGCTTGTTAAGCACTTTTAGAATCAGTAATCAGTTTTAGGATATCATTTATAGTTTTTAAAATAATGTGACTTTACCAAATGTATGGAAGCTGGAAACATTGAATTTTCGGATATATCCAGTTTATTCTGCAACCTATTATTAATACCGTTTGATAGAGCTCATGAAGCACTTTCAGGATCAGTAACTAGTTTATTGATATCTTGTTTAGTTTAGAAATAATCGAGTGAGATCACTTATTGTTTCCATCCTGTATAAACTACTGAGACCGTTTTACCTCCTTCCAAAGGTTGTTGTGTCCTATCTGGTGCCCTAAATGCTAAAGTGGTGAAGCAATAAAGTATTGAGTTTATTCGCTTTCGATTACTATCTAAGTCGAAATTATTTATTCAGTTCTTAGGCCCTTTCTAGGGTACTTATACATGTCTCAAATATAACTTGCCCTACCACCACTTCGGGACAACATATGGGCTGGTGCTGTTGTAATCATCACTAATAAAATTTATATAGCCTGACCAGGAACATAAAAACCCTCGCCATGTTGCGGAAAACTAATGGTACTAATTTCTTTTAATGGCAACAGTAACTGAAAACTTCATTGACATGTCACCTTGCATATCAGTCTATTGTTGTCAAAGTGTAAACAAACTTTATTTTAAATGTGTGCAATTGATTTTGTGAATTAAATCGCTAAAATATTTTTATAGTCGTGAAAGAAAAATGGTTCACGATGTGTTATTGTATTTTTCGAAGAGAAATACTAAGGGTTCGGACAATATTTTCATTGAATAATGTTTCCGACAAAGGTTGTCAAATTGACTGACATGTTTATCGTATGGTACAGTCCACTATGAAAATTAGCTGTAGTCTGTTTCAACTACCTATTTTAAAGTATTTTGTCACTTTCTAAGTTTTGAATTTTATGGAATTGGGAAAGAAGTACCGAGTTTGAAGCGTTCATGAGCAGACATTGCAGTTGAATATTCATGTTCTGAATTTGATTATTGATGAATAATAAAATAAATCCTACTAGCTAGAACAAACCAGAAGGAGTGTTCGATAACATTTCTACGCGGCAACTTGTGTCCAAAATACTTCCCCTCCCGCGCCCCTCTACCCCCTTTAGTGTTACTAGCGCCGTGTGACACCCCCATTTTTGGGGTAAAATTATGTAATTTTTTAAAGAGATGTTAAACAAGTAAAAAATAAGTAAGTGAAATAAGTACACACGGCCAGTGTTAACTATCCATTTCCGTTTTTGCTCTCGCTCTTATCAAATGGTGATTCTTTGCGATAGAACGAGACGACATGACTGGCCATAGGCACTAAGTGTAGATGATTATTTATTTCTATATGTAGGTATAATATGTTATTTAAAAGTCAATTACAAAAGTCGAATATAAATTTTAGAATGCCAAGTAAAACAAAAAAGAAACTTAAGGTTCTTTATTATGTAAACATATCGACAACAAAACATTTGTTTACGGCGCAGTAGTGCTTTTAGTTTAACTTTTCTTGGAGTCAAAAACAGAATCCAAATCAAAAACATCCTTTTTCACTTAGTTCAAACGGAATAAACTTGTAATAACTGTCCGAATCGGCCACGAAATTGTCTTCAACTGATCTATCCATTGTTCACTTTAATAAATCTCACCAGTTACATGTTAAAAAAATCCACTCTCAATTTAGTTAACCGCGTCGTATTACTGTTTGCGCGAACCCGAGGCGCCCAGGCAGGGTCGCCATGTACGGGAGGTATTAGAGATGAAATCAAACAACAACGTCTGGATACAAACTGATCTTCTATTCAATAAAATATGCGATTATATATTGTTATAAAATGAGGTTACACGTGTATGATTAATATTCTTATACTACCACTACACTGTGTTACGTTGCAGCTTAGCTGTTATTTTGTAAATTATTTTCCTTACTCGATATCTGATTCTCAGATACCACTAGCGGATTTTAAAAGTAATTTCTAAATCCATATTTGCAGCTGAGATAGAATTAATAGCGGAAGAAACTCATTCACCTTTGTCAGCCTCTTTATCAATGAATTTTACACACAACAATTGTGGTCCTTCGAGCCGGATATCATAAATGATTTATCCGCAGCAGTTCCCGTCGAGCCCGGCGGCGTTCTCGGCGCCGTCGCCGCCGCGCGCCGGCGGCTACGGGTCGCCGGCGGCGCGCCAGTTCGCCGCGCGCTCGCCGCTGTACTCGTCGCCCGCCGCCTACAGCGCGCCCAGCCCCGCCCACACGCCGCGCTACTCGCACGAGCCGCTCTACCGCGAGCCGCAAGGCCCGCAGGTACACAAATACACCCATACCAGGCCATATAATATCATAATAATAATAATAAATAACTTTCTTAACATACATTATGACAATACAATACAATGGTTAAAATAAAAAGAAAAAGACAAATGCATGTTAATAGAGCGCCCGCTCAGTTTTAGTTGGGACACCTTGTAGTATGTCCCAACACTGATTTTCAGCAGGGAGCCCTATCAGCTACTGCTATCATAAGTGATTTCTCCCTTCTCTTTGAGCAGAGTAAATACAAATGAGTAGGTCATCTTCATAGAAACTCACCGGGCGCGGTTTGTATGTGAGCGCGCCAATACGTATGCGGCGCGCACGCACGCACACCCTGACAAAATTTAGCGTAGATTAGCGGGGAGTTGCGCCGAATTTTGTCAATGTGTATGTGTGCGCGCCGAATACGTATATTGGCGCGCTCACATACAAACCGCGCTCGGTGCGTTTCTATGAAGATAACCTACTCATTTGTATTTCGGTACTCTGCTTTGAGTTTCGGTAAAGATGTGACACTTGAAGACCTGTGAGCGCTTTCACATTAGGGCGTTAGAAGCGCGACAGCAGCGTGGCAGCGGCGTTTTTATAATGTGAAGGCATGCATCCGCTGTCACATAGTATGACATTTTTGGCAGTGCGTCTGTCGCGCGTTTGTCGCGCTGCTTAATCGCCTAAATGTGAAAGCACTCTTCGGCGAACTTCTTGAAAGAACTTACATTTTATTATTTTGTTTCATTTGTTCACCGTCAGGCCCGATTTCCACCAAGGCAGAGGGCAGCGGGGAAACGTTTTTATTATTATTTATTATTTTTTTTATTAGGTCTACCAACATTGTTACATTACAACATGTACACTTAAAAATTACAATTATGAACAAAGTTACAATGCAACAACAATTATAGGCTGACACAACATGCAATATAGATTCAATGCAGTTTGTTCCGAACCGTTCCATGCACACAAAAAAACACTAGTACTGTGTTTTGATTAACCAATCCGATTTCATTCTGTCATTTTCATTCATTCTGAATGACATCGGTTATTCAAAACATTTCTCGGCTCCGTCTTGGTGGAAACCGGGCTTCATGCACGTTTAAATAAAAACTAAATAAATAATCTAACAATCTTCCACTTTAACATTCAAATATTCCAGAACATTCGGCTATTCTAGAAACAAAAGCAAACTGCCACGTTTGCTTACAGGACAAGACATTTGAATGTGTGCCATGTTGGGGGACCGTATGAATGATACAAGTTGTTGTTAATCTCTGCTTTAAGTCTGTTTATTAACACGAACTGCGTGACTATTTATACGATATAGATTAAAGGTAAATGACGTCACAGCATTAGCACTATACGTGATAAATGTGCTGACACTGTGAACGTGATTAAGATAAGATATGAAGAGATTTAGTATTGTGCATACCGGCACAAATGTATTTATGCGCGTTCCACAGGGCGGGTCGCGGCCCTACTCGCGGTCGCCGGCGCCGGGCGGCGGGGTGGGCGGCGTGGGCGGCGTGCCGGCGGGCGTGGGCGGCACGACGCCGTTCCCGGCGGCGTCGCCGGCGGGCGGCGCGCTGAGCTACACGCCGTCGCCGGCGCACACGCCCTACTCGCAGCACTCGTCGCCCGCGCCCGCCGCGCGCACGCCGACATACACCGACTCGCATGCCTTCAACCAGGTAATTGACACAAAAAAAATCTAAAGGCCGGTCATCGAGCACGTTATGAGGAGTTCATAATCAAACACCCGCACTGAGTCAATCCCGTTTATTGAATGCACGATAAAATACAATGAAGCGACTTAAATACTATACGATAAATGAGCATACACATTAATACAAGGGTTGTTAGTACATACATCACACGCCTCTCCATAAAAAAAAAATAAAGGACTAATTACATTGTACTTTTTTATATAATCATTATTACACTATTATTTAGGAATAAAAGGTCTTGTCCTATTCTTATGAACAACATCCTCCTTACCATCTTTAATAATTTTTACATTGGGTGATAAATCTTGTAAAACAGTAAATGGGCCTAAATAAACATTATTAAACTTATTGTTACTACAATCATTTTTTAACAATAATTTGTCATCACACCGTAGGATTTCGTCCAATCTTAATCCTTATCGCTCGCGCGTAATTATGTTACTGTCGCGCTCGCACAGTCGCGACAGCAATATAATTACGCGCGAGCGATAAGGATAGGTAGCTTGGGGTCATTGGACGAAATTCTACGTGCTCGGCGACCGGACTATAGCAGACATTTTCATTTTTTCTTTTTTAATTTACCTCCGTTAACTCGTGGTGAGCTAAATATGCTTGTGTCATTAGAAGGTTTTTTGCCACAATAGTCGAGTGGCCACGGAAATCGAACCCTCATTTCTGGCCGTCGGCCAGATATCTCCACCAGATTTGCCTTCTTCTTATTACCTAAAATTGCTATTTTGTTGTTATTGAGATCTTGTTCGCTATCTATGATATGAATAACTCGTTCACCAGTTAAGATTGTGACCTCCAATTTAGTTGAGTTTCTGGTTTAGATAATTTGATATTTTAAGTTTTGGCGTTTCATTAAAATTAAAATAAATTGTATTGTGCTGAGCATGACAGCCAAAACGTCAAGTTGTACTGTACTCATGTACTTACATATAGTCCGGTCGAGCACGTAGAATTTCGTCCAATGACCCCAAGCTACCTTACCTTATCGCTCGAACGATAAGGATGGGTAGGCGACCGGACTTTAGTAAATATCGCGGTGAGACCCTTTCTCTATTTCAATTGTATTATTAGAGTTTGGGTTCGCGTCGCTAGTGTTCCTCTCACGTGACAAGTGACACGTGATCTCATGTTTGTGTGCGTGTGCGACAGGGCGGCAGCGCCAGCAACACGTCGGGCTCGGGCTCGGGCTCGGGCTTCGCGGCCGAGCTGCCGGCCGACATGGGCGCGGGCATGGGCTCGCCGGCGCCCTCGCCCGCCATCACGCTGGACTTCGAGCCGCCCGCGCCCGCCTCGCCGCTCAGCGCCGACCTGCAGCCGCCCAGCCACAGCGACGACTCGCTGGAGGACTACACCAAGGTCGGTCACCACTCAGCTCGGCCGACATGGCTCGCCGGCGCCCTCGCCCGCCATCACGCTGGACTTCGAGCCGCCCGCGCCCGCCTCGCCGCTCAGCGCCGACCTGCAGCCGCCCAGCCACAGCGACGACTCGCTGGAGGACTACACCAAGGTCGGTCACCACTCAGCTCGGCCGACATGGCTCGCCGGCGCCCTCGCCCGCCATCACGCTGGACTTCGAGCCGCCCGCGCCCGCCTCGCCGCTCAGCGCCGACCTGCAGCCGCCCAGCCACAGCGACGACTCGCTGGAGGACTACACCAAGGTCGGTACCATCTGTCCTCATCGGACCAAGGCATATTAAGTGATCCAGATGATACAGGGTGGGCCAGAAAGACTTGCAGTTTAATAAGCCTGTATGCAGAATGCTGACTGAAGCTCGTAGTGCTGATGGCCGTTGGGACAGAAAAGTTCTAGAGTGGCAACCACGGGCCGAAAGACGTATCATGAGCAGGCCCCTCACTAGATGGATTGACAATCTAGTGAAGGTCGCTGGAAGAACCGGTCGATATGGGAAACCTTGGGGTAGGTCTTTGTCCAGCAGTGGACGTCATTTGGCTGAAACGAACGTATAATGCACGTTGCTCTGCGGGGAAAAGCTTCATTTGACTAAATTTCCCTGAGCTAAGCTACAAATAGTCGCCGCGCCCCTCTCTCACATAGAATAGAATAGAAATTGCTAGGCTATCACTCAGTGGCAAATAATCATCAATGGCAATCACTGCGCATTGAAAAATTTCCCAAGAAAATTTCAAAAATCCCCAAGAATAATTTCAAGCAGTAGATCTTCATTCATTCGTTTCTCGACTGGTCGTCAATTTGTGAATGAAATACAACCTAATGATCGCATTACTAAGTTCTTCGACTAGTCGTCGATTTGCAAAGCGATCCTCGCTCGGCTGTGATTGAAATGCAACCTTATCATCGCCTTACTAAGGTTGTAAATGTTTCAGAACACGTCGACGCAGGGCGAGCTGGCGGGCGAGGGCGCGGCGTTCGGCGGCGCGCTGTACGAGGGCTCGCCGCGCCTGTTCCCGCCGCACCTGCACCACTCGCCGCAGCCCGACAAGGAGCACTACCACTACCGGGACCGCCCCGACATGGGTGCGTGCACCACACCACACACGATACATAACACATGACCATAAAGATATAAAGAGATGTCAGCTAATGCGCTGAGTTCGAAACTCAGTGTCGCATTAGAAATTCACAAAATATGTGCTCATTATTCACTGCGGTATCAGTACTCAACGTTCGAATAATCTTTAGTACAGTGGTTCTTGACCGGTGGTCCGCGGACCACTGGTGGTCCCTGGAGGCATTCCAAGTGGTCCACGAAGACATCGTAATAAACAAGTGACGTGACGTGATGAGTCGAGTCAATACAACGCAAACGGCGCACAGTGGACGAGAAATCGACCTCCCCTTTCATAGGATTTTGAAAAAAAAAAGTGGTCCTTGACAAGACAGAAATTTGGTAAAATGGTGCCTCGTGACTTAAAGGTTAAAAACCACTGCAGTTTAGTACTACGTAAGCAATGTAAACTGTTTACATTATGACGTCGCTGCTGTCATCATTGCTTTCACGAGCAATGTGTTTTGTTTTTGGGCATATTGCTGCGACACCGGCCACGCCCCCTTGTCACATCTCCCTTTAGTTTCTGTGATCTGTGGACATGACACTACACAACATTTAAACCTATCAACACTGAAAACCAGCATTGTGGCCTTCCTTCGGGCCACGGAATACGATGAATGGGGTCCCATTGCACGGTGGTCCCGCGTCTATGTAACAGCGGTCAAAAGTGGAAAACTTCTTAATAAAATAAAATACTTTGTAAAACATTGTATAATATTATATTATTCTACTGAAATTAAAGTAATACACTCTTTGGGTAAAAAAGACTTCCTTTTTTTAGGCAAATTTCGCAAACCAGTGATATAAGGATCGCTTAACCAGTCAGATTGTCTATTTTTGAAAACTTTTGTAGACTGAGATGCCTTTTTAAAACACTCACAATTTTTTTTGCACATGTAATTACTCTTATTTTCTAAATTCTGCATGTCAATATTTTTCTCATCACTAACTAATGATAACTTTAGATGTTGGTACACAAGACGAGACTTTTCAGCATTCGTGACTTTTTTTAACATTCCATTGCTCAAATACTAACAATCTTGAAAACGAGCAATGAATTTCTTAGCTTATAACAGAAAAATCAATTGTTTTGAATTTTAAAACTAAGTTAATAATGCAACTTTGGACCCCTACTGTCAAGACCTTTGGTACTCTTGGGTGAAATTGCATACAAAATATAATAAAGCGTATTGTCAGCTAACTAATGACGTATAAATTATTACGGGGCACGACGGGGAACTAAACTAAAAGTCTAAAAATATTCAATAAATTATCAATTATTTTCATCATATTTGACATGTTAATACTAGCCATATAACTTTAAAATTTTGACAACAAGTTACACATTACCTTTTTCCAGGATTTCTATTGTTAAATTCACTAGTTTTAAATACAATTTATAAACAAAACTTTATGTAAACAAAGCATTAAACTTAGGACGCGCTGATAGCAACCGTCCTTAGGCTTGCAAGCAATGACTTCTGACTCGTAAAAGTATACCAATTTGTTAAGAAACATGTTGGTACTTTAATATTTTCTAAAACTAGAGGTTTTTAACTATCTATCTGCGTAAATAAAAAAAGATTAATAGACAACTGTAAGGCGAAACGAAGTCGAATAATCGCGCTACAACCGCGCGAGCTCTAGGACACTCGTGGTATTCCGCGGCACTTCGTACTCGCTCGGCTCTCCACGCCGCCCGCGCCCCGCGGTCGGACAGTCGCAGGCTATCACGCGCCGATTACGCGTCGTTTTCGCGAATAATTAACATCTTCCGTGTCCCACACCTCTTCTTCTGTGCTGATGATTGTTATAAGTTAGAACTTTAGATTAATAAAGTGAATACAACCATCACACAACTGATTTTTTTTACTTTTGACCTCTGCCGGGCCCACAGTGCATTGCGATAGGCATCGCTGTTGCGACAGGGTGGCACTGCTCAATTCACTTTTGTTTCCTTGTAATGTTTTATGTTTCTTTCTTTCTTTCTTTTAACCTATCAAAACACTATAGTTGTACAACACTGATATATGACACTAATAGTGACAGGACGCTACTATCAATACTGGGTTATTAGTTCTAATTTTTGCCACGTTGGACAACACTGAAGTGTCCCATATAATTATGACAAGTACAGGGAGCGCTACTATCAATACTGGGTTTTTAGTTCTTATTATGACCACTTGACGTTTCAGAATCGTTTGACTATATTACTGTCGCATTAAGTTAATCCTGTCATGACAATAAAATGTTAAAAATAAATACATAAGCAGGTAAAACAGATAAACGTATAACTGTGGACCACATTGCAGAAATAAAATATGTATTGTAACATTTTCCTGATCTTTATTCCAGGTAACGGCCTCGCGGACAGTCCGCGGTTAGACCAGCTACATCAGCATCCCTCCATGTATCCTAGCAATTTTAATAGGTGAGTGCTTTTACATGACGTGTTCATTTATCACCATGATCAAGGGTGCAAACGCTAAGCAGTATGAATATAACGAGCATTGTAATCGGTCCTTCGGTTGCACCTTTTGGAAAGTTTGATCAAATTATATTACGCCAAGTTTTCGATAAAATGTGTCTGTCAACTGTCATATCAAGTAAACATAGTAAGCAGAATTGACGACCTATGGGGCAGCTAGGTTCTGGAGTGGAGGCCACGTACCAGATAAGCGCAGCGTAGGATGTCCCACTAGGTGCACCGACGACCTCACAAAGGTAGCAGGAAGGCGCTGGATCCAGGCCGCTACCAACCGTAATCATTGGGGAGGCCTATTTACAGCAGAGGACGTTCTAGGGCTGAAATGAAGATAATGATGATGATGACCGTCACATCGAGCGATCAATGACGCATGAAAGGCATAGCGTGGCTCAATCCATGCTCATATAAGCCAATTTTTCCTAGCGGTTGGTGAAAAGTGTTTGTTTTGAGCGACTCGTAAATTAGGAGTTTGATATATTTGGAAACAACTGGAGCTGGGGCTTGTTGCCGAAACCCTACTTCCTTTTCAATAAGGGACGTTATGGACCCCAGAGAATGAAATTAAACCCAGGAACACATCATACGTAGAACAGTTTATAATACGGTGTATTTCCTTCAGGTCGACGCCTCCCAGCGGCGGCGGCGGCGGCGGCGGCGCGGGCGCGGGCCCGTTCTCGCCGGCGCCCGCCTTCCGCCCGCCCGACCACCAGCCGCACACGCCGCACCACCACCACGCGCCAGGTAACATTATACATTACTAGCGGTCGCCCGCGACTTCGTACGCGTGGATCCCGTTTTACCCCCTTCATCTATCTTACGCGGCTTAAATTTTTTCATACAAATGTTTTTTCCCGCTAACTCCCGTTCCCGTGGGAATTTTGCAATATCCTGTTGTAACTAAGCTTTAAGTTTACTAAGGTACCTGCATGCCAAATTTCAATCGTCCAACTTAAGCGGTTTAGATTTTTCATACAAAAGGATTTTCCCGGTAATTCCCTTTCCCGTGGGAATTTCGGGAATTCCTTTCTTAGTGCACCTCTACGGTACCTAAGCTACGTCCCTTCCAAATTTCAAGTGCCTACGTTTAGCCGTTTAGGCTGTGCGTTGATATGTCACTAAGTCAGTCAGAATCTATGCGGAACTTTGACGTTTATAAGTTCAACACTGAACCGTCCCAGCTATGACATTTGCAGGAGGGCGTCACTATCAATACTGGGTTTGTAAGTTTTAGATTTTTGCCACTTGACCTTTCAAAATTGCTCGACTATACTCCCGAACTGTAATTTTTTGTCATTCACAGATTATAAAAATATTTAAATCTGCAGATTTTTGACGTTACCACTATCTACTGATTTGAAACTTTAATCTAGGTAAACCCCGCCCCACCTCTAACGGTCTTCTGAGTTTAAAGACTGGCGATCCCTCTCTGCTACAACATTAGATGTAACTACGCAACATTTTTCATTTTTACATAGTATTTCTATCGTCAATAAAGTTTTGGAATGAATAATGATTGTCTACTCACGGACATTGCCCGCGGGCGGCGTGACCGGAGGGAGCGGCGAGCGTTCGGCGAACGAACGAGCAATGTTCGGTTCGCGAGCGAACATCTAAGAAGACGATCCTGACGCACTCTCTTCAACGACTTTGCACTAAACGGTCTCGATATATAGACAATTAATTGTATACAGTCCACTCTTTTCATTCAATGATTTCCACTACACTCACTATCGAAGTAACAATGATCAAGAAACTGTCGGACTTTCAGAGTCGCCGGGCGAGTACGGCGGGCCGGGCACGCCCAAGCCGAAGTCGCAGGACGTGGCGTCGAAGTCGCTGTCGGGGCTGGAGTCGCTGGTGGACCAGATCCCGTCGATAGCGGAGGGCCCGGCCGGCGGCGGCGGCGGCGGCGAGGCGGCGGCGGCCGTGGCGGCGCCCGCGCTGCCCGAGTACGCGCCGGCGCTCTACCCGCCCTACGGCGCCTACTCCACGCCGCCCTACGGGAACAACGGGTGAGTGTGTTGACACTACTAAAGCCTGGTCCGTGAGCACGTAGAATCCCGTCCAAAGACCCCAAGCTGCCCATCCTTGTCGCTCACACGTAATTATGTTGCTGTCGCGCTCGCACACACACTGCGGGCGCGCGTCGCTAAGTCGCGACAGCAATATAATTACGCGCGAGCGATAAGGATGGATAGCTTGAGGTCATTGGACGGGATTCTACGTGCTCACGGACCAGGCTTTACAAGCAAAGACTCATTTTACTGACTTATTAGACTAGAGTTAAAAATCTTGTTTGATTGAAAGATGTGAATGCAAAACGTATTGATTGCTCAATGCGGTGTTTTATTCGCAGTAGTTCCACTGTCTAGTTCCATCATGGAACTACTGCGAATATTTTTTCGCACTAGTTCCATTTGTGCATGAAGATGATAGAACTACCGCGAATAAAGGAAATGCGATACAAGTAGATTTTGTAATCTCAAAGTTAAGACTGTGAAATCTTTTTAAATAAGTAATTTTGAAACCACTTTACTATTATCATGTTCATATGTCTCGTCGCCTTGTACTTTTATCAATTTGCCAACTTTATTTGATAGATATACACCGAAATTCGTGTATTGTAATAAAATAATATAAGCGGACACAAAAATAGCGATCAGTTTTATGTTTCCGACTTGAAACGAAGCGTCTCAGCTAGTTCAGTCTGACATCTCGCTGTATTAGTATTTTGCCCCTGTTCGTCTTCTGCGATGAGGGATTTAAACCTATGCAGACTTTAAGGCCCGAGTCGACTAAACTTTTATCCGAAAATAACTCCTGGTATAACTGGCACATTCATAGTTTCTGTTAAATGTGTTAATTCTGAGATTAATATTACTCTTATTTGGTCAAATTCACCCTAAATATTATTATTTTTGTGCAGCTACGGCGCGCCGTTCGTGGGCTACGGCGGCGGCTGGGGCGCGGCGGCGGTGATGCGGCCGACGCCGGGCTACCTGTCCGAGTGGCAGTACGGCTACACGCCCGTGTCCGCCGTGCCCGCCGTGCCCGCCGTGCCCGCGCCCTACGCGCCCTACAACGCGCCCTACTACAACGGCTACACGCCGCCGCCGCCCGCGCACCACCAGCAGGTACCATATCAACACATGTCCGACACGCTGTAACACACGCTGATATGCTGTAACACACACTGACACGCTGTAACACATCCTGATATGCTGTAACACATGCTGTAAAGCGCCCTGACACGCTGTAACACATCCTGATATGCTGCAACACACGATGACACGCTGTAACACACAATGACACGCTGTAACACACCATGACTAGCTGTAACACATGCTGACACGCTGTAACACACCGTAATAAGCTGTAACACACACTATAATGCTATGTTACACATACACGTTGTAACTGTAACACAACCTGACACGCTGTAACACACTCTGACATGCTGTAACACATCCTGATACGCTGTAACACACGCTGGTACGCTGTAACGCAATGACTAACTGTAACACACCCCGACATGCTGTAACGCGCCCCGACATGCTGTAGCGCGCCCTGACTCGCTGTAACACACCGTAATAAGCTGTAACACACACTATAATGCTGTAACATACACGTTGTAACTGAAACACAACCTGACACGCTGTAGCTCACTCTGACATGCTGTAACACATCCTGATACGCTGTAACATACGCTGATACGCTGTAACACAATGACTAACTGTAACACACCCCGACATGCTGTAACGCACCCTGACATGCTGTAACGCGCCCTGACTCGCTGTAACACACCGTAATAAGCTGTAACACACACTATAATGCTGTAACATACACGGTGTAACTGTAACACCACCTGACACGCTGTAGCTCACTCTGACATGCTGTAACACATCCTGATACGCTGTAACACACGCTGGTACGCTGTAACACAATGACTAACTGTAACACACCCTGATATGCTGTAACACACAATGACACGCTGTAAGACACCCTGACACATGTAACACACTAACACGCTGTAACGCGCCCTGACACAACACGCTAACACGCTGTAACGCATCTTGACACGCTGTAACACGCCCTGACATACTGTAACCTGTCCTGACACTGTAACAATCCCTAGTGGTATAGTGGCTTGAAACGCAACACGCTTTAACATAAAGTACTCTGACACCCCCTGAAATACAGTCACTTGCTCTGATACACAATAATACACTCGGTTAACGCCGTGACAGTTCTCTGAATGTTGCTAGTAACAAACACTGTCACGCCGTATTACACGCGCCCTGACACGCAGTAACATTTGCCTAAAATAAAATTTTATTTCAATTTTATTATTGGTTCCCTTATATTAGGGACTATATTTATTGTACTTCGAGGTACCAATGAAAGGATTATTTGTCAGGGGTGTTATCCAGACGCGAGATAATTTAGAAAACCAGAAATCGAACCCAGCCAAGTCTCCTTTCATACATGAACCTCCGCGCCACCGCTCCGGCTCCGGCCCGCGGGTAATATATTTTTATTATTGATTTTAATTTTCATTTTTTCTGTCGCTCTGTGCCGTCTTTCTCGAAAGAAGCTATCCCAATAGGGATGTTGACTGATAGGGGTAATGAAATCGAAATTCTATTTAGTCCGTCAGACAGATAAAAAAAAATTTGGAAATGTTTTAATTTTTTTCATAATCGAATAATTACAGTATTATACTCGTATCGAGTTAAAATGTCGCGGGACGTCACTTTTGAGTAAAAAATCTATTCAAGCGTGACGTAACGCGCCATTTCAACTCGACGTAGCACTGTTATCAGTTAATTATGAACGAAAATAAAAAATATGACTTTAATATTTTGTAATTATCTGTCTGACAGACAAATAATTGAAATTTTGTCATCTATAGTCTGGTCTGTGAGCACGTAGTCGCGCTCGCACACTCACTGCTGCCGCCCGTCGCACAGTCGCGACAGCAATATAGTTACGCGCGAGCGATAAGGATGGGTGGCTTGGGGTCATTGGACGGGATTCTACGTGCTCACAGACCGGGCTTTAGCCTATTCTATTTCTGTTGACACCGCAGAACTGGCAACTTCGGTAAGCTCGCTGGTGACGGTGTCGGTGTCGGTGACGTTGGTGTTGGTGTTGCAGCCGCACTACCTGCCGGCGCCGCCGCTGCTGGAGCTGCACGCGGGCGGCGAGCACGCGGCCGGCGTGCCCGCCGTGCCCGCCGTGCCGTCCGTGCCGTCCGTGGGCTTCGGCGGCTTCTGTTAGCACCGGACTGAGCGAGCCGAGGATAGCATAAGGGTTTTTTTACATTTTAGTTAGTGGAATGCGAGGCGCCGGCGCCCGGCCCCGAATCTCGGCGACGTTCGCGGCGTGAGTAGCGAATTGGACTGATGTCGCTCGACCGGCGGTCGACGCGCCCGCTGCGACTCGTGAGGCGATCGTCGTGATGTAATTTAATCTTTTTCAAACTGATGAGCTTAATTTGTAGGGTTTGTTTGTAAATATTGTACGCGTTCTGTTCGGATCCATCGCGCCCTCGTTTGACCGATCGCCGGACGCGTCGCAGGCCGGGTCCGTCGAGCGCGCGGAGGCGGCCGATCGACTCGAATATTGATCATTATTATCGGAGGTGATGCCCGAGTTTGTTAAAAAAGTCTTGCCAATGAAATGTTTCGCGTTCTAGTCACTTACTGATTCGTGTCGGCTAGTCAAAAGTGTAATATCGATCGCGTCCCCGCACTCCCGCACGGATCGCTCGAGTGAATCATGTTTTATCTAAGTCACAAGAACGGCCTATGAGATGTATGATGTATACTTTTTTATTTAGGTTTAGTTGTACGTCGCGAGTGTGACGCTATTTATAATTCAATTTTAGCATTTTTTATACATATTAACTATATTTTTACTGTCGCTACGAGGCGGCCATTTTGTCATCGCGGTCGTTGACTCCGGCCGAGAGGCGACGTGTGATACTGTTGGCTCAATTGATGGAAACTCGTCGATCTAATAATATGCATAGACTCAATACACATGTCACGTGAAGTTATAAGATACGAAATGTGATGATTTTGTTCATTATAATTGTTTAAAAAAGTACAGCAAACTCTATTTATATTGCTGCTATCATTTCAGACTGGCATTTATTCTCATTATTCAAAAAAATCTATGTCTGTTATTATTTTGATGTATAAACAAAACGGCGATCACTGCCAGGAAGGTTGTCCGGAGTCAGCGGCCGCGCCGCATTGTCATGGACTCCTTGCATTTGACTAAACGTTACCCGATCAGTTACATAGCTTCGGATCGCTAGTGATAGCATAATTTTACATAAGATTTATAACCTATATTTTATTATACACGCGCCATTTTATTGTAAGTCTGTCGCGCCGCGGAGCTCGGTGACAACTCTCAAGATTCCGCGATTACAATGACGCAAACTTAACCCGAGGCAGGAAAATACATATTTTACCTTTTTATAAAAAATGAATTAACACTGTCAAGTGTTGTAAAAAACTGCTGTTGTAACTTTATATTTATGACGAATCTGAGGTCAAATGGCAAACTTTTGATGTCGTGGACGTTTCGAACGTGCCCGCGCGAGCTCCGCGGCGCCCGACGCGCTAGGTTTAGTTGTGTAACGACGCATAATGACGTTTCAGGTGCTCATGGGTTCGATTGTTTCCTCGCAGTTGCCATTCGGCGCTCTGTCGCTTGTTCGAGGTCTTGTGTTGTTGGTCTCTCTCCCCGTCACGTGACCGGGCGTGAGGTCCACGGTCGGGGTTCCGTCGCGACCCGCTTACGGAGATGTGTTTCTACGTTAAGCGTCAATGAGGGGTGGTTTTAAAAAATCTTGTACAAAATTCTTAAATTAGTGAAATCGAATCTTTTCTTTGCACAAACGGTGAATAAAAAAATCTTAAATATAGGCTAAGAAACGAAATAACATACGTAATAAAGACATATACGTTAATGCTAGGTTTACTGGAAAGAATTTATATTGTAGTGTTGGGTGTGTCGCCGACCACACCGCGGCCCGCGCTCCCGCCGCGGCTCTCGACTGATCTGAGTGAGAAATTACGTCAATTTAGTAAAATTTATATTCCTCAAGATTATTTTCTCGCTGAATGGGGTGGTTGACTGGGTTTTTCAAAAGTTATAGAAAAATATATTTTATTTTAGGAGTCAAAAATCTTCTTCGAAGTTTTCGAATGCTAAAAAAGTAGGTCACCGTTTTTAGTCAGCAGACGTGGCAGATAGGCGTTTCATTTTTCTTCGCTCTATCTCGCAAAGGAATTCGTCACAAACGTCCGAAGTGAAGCGTGGGAAACTACCCTGTTGCGTGATGCGTTTAGTTACCGTTCCGTTCCGGCGGGAGCGCGCGCCGGGAGCCCAAGCGCCGTGTCGCCGGCCGGCCGCCCGATGCTGTGCGCGCGCCATACACAAGTAGTTGCGGTTCAAGTTTCGTTCCAACTTTACAAATTTAACAAACAAGTTTTTAAAGTGTTCTAAAATTACTATTGGTAAAAACACTAACTTTGTTTGAGTGCGAGATGTATTGCTTAGGCAGTAAATTATATGTTTATTTATTGTATGTTGCGTTGGGTAACGTACAGATGAGATGTATAAATTTTACTAAAAAACTACTTTTGTATGGGGCTCGCACACCAGGCGGGCTTCGAGCCGCGCCGCTTCGACACGTCTTGTTTCTTCGTCTTTCAGAAGGGAAAATTATAAGTTAAAATGAAAATGAAATCAACAGGGTATTTAAGATTGCTTAAGATTTATTATTTTATATTTATTATATGATTTTTGTGTGCCTCGCGCAGTTGTGTTTAGTGTTACTGATATTTTTTGAGGATAAGCGACGAATGATCGCGGACGGCAGCTTACGAATCCGCACGAATCGAACTTAATCACTATGTACTTAATAAAATACAACCCACATAGGGAAAAATAAACGCTGGATGTTTAGTTTTTATTAATAGTTTAAAAGTTGTTGAGGTAATCGAAGCGGATATCCCAAATATAAGTTGGGCTTTGTGTGAAGCGTGTAGCGTGCGCGCGCCGCTGCCGTCCGCGACCGCGCGCCGGCGCCGACCCGCCCCCCACAGGCTGCAATGAACTCATGTTTTTTCATTCATTATTAAACAAAATATAAATAATCTACCACTAATTTTATTGCAAAAGCTATATAATTTTTCTATAAAAATATGTAACAGTATAAAACCACACAAACAATGCGGTTGTGACAGTTTTACGTACATTCCTGAATTAAAGAAAAATCTTCAGTGTTTCCAATCAGTAAAAATTAAAGAACTGACACTTTCAATAATTTTTAATGTTGTCGATGATTCTTACCACAAGTTTATTGGCTCAAATAGTCAAATTACTTTACTTTTAAAGTAACGGGATATCAATTTGGAAGTCAAAGATATACCTACAACTACGCACCAGTAAATGTTTACCCGCGCCGCCTGTGAGGGCCGCGTCACCGCCGCGTCACTTGCGTTTGTACATAATGAGTGCTTTATTACGCTTTTGATATTATATTTTTATTTAAATCTACATTTATATTTCTATATTTTTGCTTTTGTACAATAACGAATACGTGTGATCGAGTTTTGCGTTTGGTTTTTCACTTGGCGATCGCGTGGCCGTCGTTCTCTCTGTTTCGAACTTAAATCAATCTTTATGTACTTACAATAATTGTAGTCTGTGATATTTAATCTTGTGGAGTTATTTTTACAGTAATTCGTGAATTTATTTCTATGAAGAGGTTTTCATCAGTTTTCATCATTTGTTATTTTTAGATGAAAAGGCCAGTGAATTTAAGTAATGAATTTTTAAAGTGAGGAACGACCGCCCCGCGACCGTCTTGATGTATGTTGCTAGTTATTTGAATTTGGAAATGGTGTTTTATTATTGTTTGTGTTGCCCGTGACCGAATCGCTCCGCCGTAGGGAGCACTATCAACGCGGCTCGCCAGCACGCTTGCCGGAATGATCTCAAACTAATTAGACGATTTAAGCTTAATTGAATGTCAGATTGATTAGTTGACAAATTTTGATTTGTGTGTTTAGTTTACTAGAACTTGAACGGGGAGTTTATGGTCACGGGCAACATGTTAAGCCATTGGTACGTTTCGCCAGTAATCTCAGTTGTAAACAAGGCCTACGCGCGCTGCCGGCGGCGCCACCCGCGCCGCCCGTCTCGAATACTTGTGATTGTTTCTATTTCACGCTATCTATTGAGTTAGTTGATCTACCCTGATCTTTAGAAGGTTCGTTTTAAAGTCTTGGATTAGCAAATTTACTGTCAAATTGGTAACGGCGGGTGGGTAGTGAATTGATCACATTTGACAGCACATTTCCTGGTCTCGGGTGAGATAAGCTTCTAAAAAGCGGGAGTAACGTGCCAGAATATTGTCTACAGAAGAGACACGTTAGTTGCTACAATCGACTAATTCACTAGTGTCATGTGATGTAGTCGTAAACGTCGCTGCGACGCCGACGCCGCCGCGCCGCGAGTCGTCAGTCTAGTCGGAACGTGCGAAGTACAATTTGTAACGGACGCACAATGCGAATAATGGAATTGAGAACGCGGCGGCGTCGGCGGGCGGAGCGTTTAATTTAGTCTTTACGTCGTAGTTTCTTTAACAATATTCCTTCTGCAACGGAGTGCAACGGATATCGGCGTGTCGCAACACGGCGGTCGTGCGGACGACGCCGACCGCTCGGCGGTGCCGGGCGCACTCGAGGTAGGCGTGGAGTCAGGTCGCGCTGGACTTACCCGTAGTGTAGCGTAAGTCTCTATCAACGAGTTAGTGTTAGCGGGGGCGGGGCGCGCCGGGCGCCGGGGCGCTCCGCCCCTCACGCGGGCCCGCGCGGCCGGGGCCGGGGCTGTGCCGGGAGCGTTGGGGACGAAACACAATGGTGTCATTTACTTTTTTACGGATATTGTTGTTTCGTTCCCTGCACCTCCTCGCGAGCGTGGGCCCGCAGGCGCCCGCTGCGGCCGCGCCGGCTCGCGCCCCGTTAGGGTTGACCAGTGTATGCATTGAGTCGCTCAACTATTTGTACAGTATGTATATTTTTGTAAAATTCATTCTAACCGGTGGCAATATTATGAAATTTAAAAATTTATCTCTAATATTAAAACTTAGTACAATTATTGTTATTTAATAATTTGATCATCAATTCCGTTTCTGAGTTTTCACTCGATCGTCGTCCCGAACTAAGAGTATGAGTCGACACTGAAGGCTCGATAAAAGTGCAACTTTGATTCTGTTATCGCTCGCTGAATCCGATGTACCGGCGGCGCCGTAGAGTTCCTCGGGCGCTCCGCTGCGGGGATGACTTAACGGCTCTCGGTGCGGTCGACCGTCAGGAGGCAGTTCCGGTTCATAACGACAGCATAGATAACCGAGTCAAGGTTCGGTTTGCGGGTCGAGAGTATAGTTGCACGACTCACGAGCTCGCACTGGAGTCGAGCAGTAGTTCTGGCGCCGCGCGCGTCGCTTGGTTGTGAATTAGTGTCGCTTGTGCCCCTCCCTCCCCTCCCCTCCCTTCACTCCGTCACCGCAGCCTAGCACACGTTGAGTGTTCGATATCGCAGTATTTTCGTGCCAAAACACACCGATACAGGTACTACGAGCAATAAAGTTACATATTGTAGTCTAATGAAAGCAATAAACTACGATTGAACGCGTTGCCTAAACTTACTCACGATTCGAATCGTAGAAACCTTTGCGACTCACTTCATTGTAATGTAGACGTCTAGTGATAAACTATTTATTAATGTGAACACGAACGTGTCTGAAACATCTGCGATATACGAGTGATCATGGAGATACTTAAATCGACTTAAGGCGACGGAGTTCGGTCCTAGCTCAATTTTATTGATACTTTATTATTAATGATTATTATATATTTGTACTTGCTTGTTATTCGCCGTTGAACTGTAGTTGTTCGACCCCGGCGAGCCCGGGGCCCATTCCCCACCTGCAGTACTCGACATCTCGCATTTGGACTACGGTGCTTGTTTGTAGGGGGCGCGGCGCGGCCTCATATCCCGACCCGACGTAGCCGCTTCCCTGTACATAGTCCCAGCGAGAGGTGCCGGCCCGCGCCCGCCGTGTCCCCCGCAGCGTTTAAAGTACAATTTATTGAATACCTTAATCTCTATTATTAATTAATGATTATACACTATTGTCACTGTTGAGCGATGCCGCATGTTCTCACTCGGCCGAGACCGGTTCGTGTCCGTTTTCTATATTTACGCTAGCTATAACACTAAAGTTGATATGTTTGTACAGTTTTTATTGATACTTCTCGTAGTGGACTAAGCAAAAAAAAATATTTTTAGTATAATAAGATCTAATCGAATTACATCATAGTGTATCATAAAGTACTCGAGGTCGTTTTTCAAAATTTCTTTTAACTTTGTATGAGAACTTTCGTGAGTTTTAATTTAAAAATAATAATAATTAATGTCTCATCTGAAACTGACTCCATGGAATGTAATTAGAACTTAAACAGGAAGAATTTTAAATAATGAAATACAACATAATAACGGTTAAGTATGTATTATAAATAGTGGTAAGGTAAAAAGTTATTAACATTGTATGGAAAAATTGTGACAAAATTATAGTCATTTGTAATATTAAGTGTTGTTTTATTCATTCCAATTTTTATTTACTTAATAATATTAAGAATACGAAAGTGAAAGAAATAACACATTGGCTGGCTACTTTGTAAGAGTTACTTGGTCGCGTGCACAATCTTCGTAAAATTAAAGTACCTACCCACCTACATAATTTGCCTGAGTTTAGGAGGAAAGGGGAAACGAAAATCACTGTATTATTTTATTCAATTATTATACCCTAAAATAAAATGACACAGATTTTGGATAAAATGAAATATAATAAAGTGAAGGAAATCGTGTCTTGGGAGCGGCCTTTGTCCATCAGTGGACCTCAATTAGTTGAAACGAACGAACTAAAGTAAAAGAAATACTGCGTTACTTCCAGATTTTCCGCGGGAAATCTCAAATACCATAGACAATTTAGTAAAAGTAGCCAAACATTTTTTGGAGGTTCTACATTCGCGTTCTGTGTATAATATTTTCTTAAAAATAAACTATAATTCAAAATATTTAGTAAGTAAAGGGTAGGCCCCACCCTTCTGGCGCAGTCGGGTAAATAATATAGGCGCTCGCGACCATCACTTCGAAACAACATGGGCTGGTGGTGTGGGAAGTGGCGAAAGAAACTTTTAGTTTTGTCTGCCTCTTTTTTAATTACATAGTTTGGTAAGCAATCTTGGGGCTTAGCCATACCAGCCATACACACTTCATTTCAATACCCTTCTCTGTGCCCTTCTCCCTGCCCATAGACACGAAATAACGATTACCGGTAATTTTATCGTTATTGTTATTTTAAATAACTTTGATTTTGTTGAAATGAGAATAAAGAAAACTAAGAATTTAATCATAAAATTATTGGATTATTTACATGGGTACATATTAAATTCTTTTATTCCTTAAAATTTAGTCAGTGACGTGATATTTTTATGCGACATGACTGTGAGAATTTATGGTACCGCATCTGACAAAGGATGTCAAAAGCAAAATAGAGTTAGTAAAAAAGTAAAAAGAGTCATTTAGTTTGCACAAAATTGCTTAGACGATTGAAATATTATTTTAGCTACAAATTTAAAGAATTTAGTAAAACCAAAGATCTAAAACATTTAAGAACTTAACATTTATCAATCGGTGTTGATTAAAATTTGAATTTACCTTATCAATTTGTCAAAATAATCGAGACATAAAATTCAAGTATTGTGTGCATTACAAAAGACCTAAGTTTGATGGCTTTGAGTACCAGAGACAATTTGAGTTGACGAGAGTCTCCAAAAAGATCGGCGGATAGCCTGTAGAATTCGGTGTGGATTGAGATGTCGGATATCGGCAGCGGAGACGAGGCGATTACTAGTCAGAGTACGTATTTATTAACGCCTTGAGAGTGTCTGGAACGCGCTTCGTTTTGCCCCGTGGCCGTGCGACAACTCGAAAGTCGTCCCGTGCAGTCCTAACGTTCAAAAGTAAATATTTCATTGTTCCCGTTTCAAAATGGCGAAGCGGACTCCGCTATATCTCAGACAGTGAGGCCTCCGAGGGGACCTCTCACGGGCCGAGCCTCCGGAGAGCGGGCGGCGGCGCGACAGCCCGCCCGGGACCGGCTGCGACCGACCGCCGGCGGAGGTTGACGACCTATCGATTTTTTTGTCTGCGACCTCTCGTCGGCGGGCGGGCCGTTGTCGGCGGCCGGGGCAGCGGGAGCGCTGCTGGCCTGCTGCGGAGGTGAGCCGGCGCCAGCGCGGACAGTCGTCAGCCGCGGCGCCGCGCGCGTCAGCTGAGCGCTCGCGATGGCAGGTCAGTGGCCGCTGCTCCCGCTCCCGGCCTGTGCTGCTCTGGCCTCGCCCACTGGCCTCCCTGATCTCATTACATCCCGATTGTGCCACGTCTAGCCTTCCCTGACGCTCCAAATCCCTGTGCAAGCCAGATAACCTGTCAATGTGTTGTGTTTCTTTGTTCCATCTGCAAGTGTTTTCTGAAGTGCTGGAAGTGTTTGCGGCAGTGTTACCGTCAGTTCAGTGCCTTGTGTAGTGTATAAGTGCTGGAAGACTGAAGAATTCACAATTGTAACAAAGGATCAGCTGATTCAAGACAGTGTTCAACACAAAGAAACAGCATTCAGTGTCAAGATGAGATGAGTTTCTAACTGGGATAGCTTTGTTTTGGAAGATTTGGGGTGCTTTCAAGATATACCTGCCAGATACAGATGACTTTTGGCACACTTGTGTTAAAATTTGACGCCATTGTAAGAGAAACAATAGGCTATCCAGTGTTCAGTGAGTATTGACTAGTCAAAGGAAAGTAAGTTTAGCTTTTGTTTCTGCATTAGCTGGAATTTGCTTGCAGTTCAATTAAGGTTCTACAGTGGAATTATTATTGATTTGTGATGACAATGGGAATGGGCAATAACTTAGTTGCTTAGATATTGTTTTACTTTAAGATCAGTGGCCTAGCTAGATTGACTAACTAAAGCAATCAAATTGGAAGTATGTGTGTCGATGTTGACTTGTTTATGGTGAGATGATTGTCTACACAGCAAGGCCAATATTTAATGTGTTACATGTGCATTAATTTTCTGAAAAAACTACCACTACACTCTGATTTTTAATTCGACGGAATTTTGACATTTCAGAAGTGTTACCAACATTGAAACATTCCCACTGAGGATGGAGAGCATTTTCACAAATTAAAAAATAATCCTTTCTTGAATTTAAGGTTTCACTTAAAAAACTAAGGCTTAAAAATGTACTGATCATTTCAAAATGATTATTTGAATTTTTATTATCATATTTTAGAAGTTACAAAAAAAATTGGGAAATTATTTTTCTATTACTGGACTCCCTGGCCAATAATCCATGGGTTACAAACCTTTTTTATGAAAATCCTTTTGTTAATAAAATCTTAGCTTCATAAAATAATCAATTTAACAAGATGCCAATTTTATAATCCAAGTTGATTATGATGACGATAATGATGATTGATAATCAATACATATTTTCGTTTATGTTAATATGTTGTTTTACTGTGTTAAAAACACGTTTTTTTCTATTTAATCTCTAAAATGTACATAATAATCAGTGTACATTGTATTCACGAAACAAACAATAGTTCATTCTTGTAAGTTGTAGTTGATGAAATTTCATTTCATATTATTTATTAATAATTCAAAGCAAAAAAGGCTTATTACATCTGAATTGTCAAAAAATGACAGCTGTCAGAATTCCGTCGAATTAAAAATCGGACTATAGTTAACATCGGACACAATATTGAATTCTTAAGATTCTTATTAGACTTGTATAGTGTGACTTTGTAGGGAGGTTTTTGTCAGTTTCTAGTACTAAATATTGATGCACATTTATTAGATTTTGGTTTGACTAGGCTCATAAGCCTTGGGTATAGGGTTCCCAACCCTCCCGGATTGCCCGGGAGACTCCGGAAATAATGGTTAACCTCCCGACCTCCCGGAGAGCAATATTTTCTCCGGTATTTCTAAATAAAATAAAATTAAATGCATCCATTGCTGCTTGTACTTGTTTATAAATTTTATCTTTAAAAGAACCAATCACATGGACCAGCATTACTAAACTCCAGGAATTATTAAATATTGACATAGATAGTGACAAATTGTACGATGAGCTTGGACTTTTGCGTGAGGTGCAAGCACATCTTATTGAATAAAATCGAGTGGATTTACGCTGGGTTGACTTCTTTACGAAATCGAAAGACAGAAATCCCTGTCCTGAATTTAAAAAAAATGGTCACGTTTGTTCTTTCCATTCCTGTCTCTATTAATGCTTCATTCGAGCGCGTATTCAGCGTGATGGAGCAACTATGGAGCAAGCCCCCCCCCCCCCACAATTCTCCCGGGTTGGTCCTTTCAAGAGTTGGCAACCCTACTTGGGTAGCCAAGGTGTGCCTAATTGTAATGTGTTGAAGACAAGCTGCTGGAAGGTTGAGCTGTGTGTTGCCCTCAAATGAGCATTTTACATTGAGTATTTTTCTTCTGGTATTGCCTATAAAATAAAAATAAATAAATAAAAATAAAAATCATTTATTTTCAGACAAAAGCAGTCCATAGTTTGGTTAGTAACAATTTGAACTTAGAGACTATATGTATATTTACTTTGGATATGACCTACAAAATTAATCTGGTTTTCAAACAATACAAGACCCTTTGTCTATTACATGAATGAATGTGCAGCAATGCTGTGCTGGTGACTGGTGTACTGATCCAATTGTGATTTTGTTTGTGAAAGAGACTGATTGGATCTGAATGAAGAATTAACACTAGCTTTTGTCTCATAAAAACCCAAAGGTGGTGAAGTTGGAGATGAAAATCTGTTTATAGAACCCATCATCTCTAAATCAGGGATATGAAATATCATATTATTTATGAATTGGGTTTGCCTTTTGCATGAATGTGTTTGAGTTTTTTCAAATCATGGATTGGGGATGATTTTAAATGATTCATATTTACAAGTTGCATGTTTAATTACATTCCCTTATGACACTTGCAGCTAAAAGATAGCTAGCTAGGCTGCTCCTTCACGATAATTATTCACGATAAGAAGAACTTGCAGGCACTAGCTAGTACAAATAATGTACCAGACATCACACCAATTGCCGGTCTCAAAGTAGCCAAATCCTCGTGAAACGAGGTAGGAGGCATGATGATGGATTGATTGCGTAATGGCTGGAATAAAAATACTTCATAGAACTGTGGGTTTATCCCACTACAATAAAACAGGCTTGAATATATCCATTATCAATGAGATGTATGCCTGAAATATTTGGAATGAAAATGTATGCTAGATAAAATGAAATGCTTTTGTCTTATTTTATAATAATAAGTCAAAAAATCTTTTGCCTTATCAATAACATTGTTCAATAGTTTTGACTGTAATGTAAACAAAACAAATCATTACAAGTTTTAGACGAAGAGCTACAGGACAGTTATCCTGTGGTTTTAGTTCTAAATGGTTTGTCTGGTCAGTGTTGGAGTAACTGGATTTGTTACCTTTTTTGTTATTTTTATCAGTTTTTAGATTGTGTTGTTTATTGTGATGATTGCCTTGAATTGCTCACTCAAGGTCAGAGTGTCTGCTATGTTGAACATAAAAACTGGCCAAGGGCGAATCATGCTTGTATGCAGAGGGCTCTATAGCTTTTCAATGTGTCACATATTTCAATGTGTCAAGTACTTATTTGTACTTTATATGAAAACCAACTTGATTATTCTATCCTACCATAGTCCATGCTGACTTTTTACCCGACTGCGCCAGAAGGAGGGTTATGTTTTTTGGAAAATAGTTGTACTCACATAAAAAATACTTCCTATTTTTAACCAGGGTTCGAAATTATCAAGATAATTACGCTTCGTGATAATTATCAACAGTATACATACAGGGTTCCAAAGGATAATTATCGTGATAATAACAGATAGATAATTATCGGTTGATAATAACAAAAAATGCGCTCGTGAAAATGTACTGTATTCGAAGTTTTCGAACGTGTATTTCCGCACTTGCGTCTAGTGGTGGGCGTTAAACAACATAGATACCTAGTTATAAAACCTATCTTTTTGCTCCACAATGTTCACTAGATATGGATGGAGCATCAAAATATTGATCTATACTCCAAGTTTTATGCGACTAGCGATGGATAACTTGACAACAATCAGCAACCAAAAACATAAAGCAACATTTGCAATCAGAATTTCTTATGAAACAATATGACAAATGTATTTTATACTGTTGATAATTATCCGATAATTATCTGATAATTTCGAACCCTGAGTATAAGATACATTTGTCATATTGATTCATAAGAAATTTTGATGTTACATTGTTTCAAGTCAAGTTATTTTATTCATGATGAATGAGAATGTTGCTTTGTTTTTGGTTACTGATTGTTGTCTTAGAAAACTTCGAATACAGTTCGCGTTTACGAGCGCATTTTTTTGTCATTATCAACCGATAATTATCCATCTGTTATTATCAAGATGATTATCATGATAATTATCGTGATAATTATCATTGATAATTATCCTTTCGAACCCTGATTTTAACTATCTTCAAAAAAAGGAAGGGTTCTTTCTATGTTCAACTGTATGTATTTTTATGTGGGTGTATTAATGTAGTATTTTCAAAATACATATGCACAAGAAAACATAAATTATTTCATCAACATTTACTAATTACTTGACATAATAAAGGTTCCTTTGACATAAAGTTATGTCTAAGCAGAGCTTGTATTATGGCGACTAGACCATGGATTTACATCTAATGTGATGTACCTGTTTATGAGTCGTGCTACTCCGTGTATTCCGGTACTCGTCTTCAATCGCACTAATTTTCCCCCGGCGAATTCCGAACCCGCGACCGCAAAAAGTTGCAAATTCATTCCCCAAAATTGAAAACGCGTGCATCCTTTGGGAAACCAATAGGTATTTGTACAAGATTCAAGTATACCCGACGTATTCAGAACTCTAAAAAGAAAGGTAGTATTAATCTGTTTTTTGAAAAAATAAGTCCAGACGTTGACTAATCTGCCGTCAAAAATAATTACTACGCTGCGCTCAATATGCTAGAACCGTCTAAAAGAAGAACGGTCACGCCCCATACAAAAAAAACCCAGACCCGACAGAAACGGGACATACCTCAGTTTTTTTGTCATGTCTTAGTTAGTTAAATTATATATTTTTTATATTCGAAATCTATGTATAACACCAAAATATTACCCTTTGTTTTTGTTCAGGCGTTATACAAAAACTAATACAAAATGCCTATTTATCACCA